CCCCAACCACACACACACACACACACACACACACACACAAATCATGCATTAAAAAGGAGCCGTTCTCGGGGGGGGGGGGGTCAATTCCCCAGTATCTCTGTTGTGGGAGAATAGGTTCCTACCTTACATAGGAAGGAATTAAGAGCAAGGCATGGTAAAGTGAAAGCAAGTTTATTTAGAGAGATACACACTCCATAGACTCAGAAGGGAAAACAGCTTAGGAGATATATACTCCATAGGTAGAGAGGTGTAGGGTGTTTAGTTTAAAGTAAAAGTTGATATACACTCCATAGACAGAGTGCGGGCCATCTCAGAAGGCAGAGAGACAAGAGACAGAGACAGAAAGAGACCACAAGGTTTGGAGTTTTAGGTTTTATAGGCTCGGTAATTTCATATGCTAATGATAGGAGGATTATTCCAACTAGTTTAGGGAAGAGGCAAGGCTTTCCAGGAATCGCCCCCTCCGCCCACTTTTTGAATTCTTTTAAGGTCAGCCCAGGAACCCTCAAGGCGCCTGTGGGTGCACCATGAGGCTCAAGGTCTATTGGAAGTTGAATCTTCCGCCATCTTGGTTCTAACCAATTTGTCTCGTCCTCAGTGACTGTGCTGGTCCTTCAGTGGTTGTGCCCTGCTCCCTTTCCTCCCACTTCACCTCCATAAAAAATAATAAATAAATAAATAAAAAGGAGCCATCCTGAAAACGGTATGGAAGTACCTCAAAAAATTAAAGATAGGATTACCATTTCATCCAATAATACCCTTCTAGGTATATATCCCAAAGAATTGAAAGCAGAGACTCCAACAGATAGTAGTACACTCGTGTTCAAAGAAACATAATTCACAAGAGCCAAAAGGTGTAAGTAACCCAAGTGTCCAGGACAGATGAATGTATGCGCAAAATATGGTACATACATAAAATGGAATATTTTTCAGCCTTAGAAAGGAAGGAAATTCTGTCATATGTTACAACACGGGTGACACGAGAACTCCACCTTCTGGTTTCCCCACTCTATCTGAGGTAACTGTTTATTAATTTTTTACAGTGGTTATGGTTGTAAAGCATTGTTAAGTGTACTTAATGCCACTAAACTGTACGCTTTTAAAAAATAGCTTAAATGGTAAATTTTGTTATGTATATCTTACCACAATCAAAAGCCAAAATGGTACCGACCTGCTGTACCAAAAACTAAGAGCCTTTCGTTTCACAATAACAAATAGAGATGAATGCTCGCGAAGAGCTGCCAAATTCATCATATTTGGGTTTTATTTTATTTTTATGTGAACCTTAGGATCTGAGAGGGTTAGGGAGGCCTTGCCTTCTGGGTCCCCGGCGCAGCCCCAGGGCCGGTCACCCCTCCCCTCTCCCAAGCTTTCTAAGAAAATGACAGCACCACAGCCCAGAAGCCGCATCCTTAAAAGGGTCGGGGAGACTCACTGAGCTGCTCCGCCTCCATCCCAATCAGCCGCCTTCGTCCCAACCAGCCGCCTTCAGAGCCAAGGGCCCGCTCGCCGCACGTCCTTCCAATCAAAGGGCTCCAGGAGCGGGCTTGAAAGGCAGAGCCAACCGCAACGCGCCTGTTTCCTTTAGTCCCGCCCTCCCCCGCTTCCGATTTGCCGGTTTCAAATCCACGGGCGCCAATGAGAGCGGGCGCATGCGCAGCGCACTGGCCTTTGCTCCAGGCGCGGACTTTTGAGTTGAAACTGTCGCTGGGGCGTCATGGTGCGGCCTGGGCCCTCCGCCGCCGCAGGTGAGTATGACCTTCAGCCTCTGTGACTTAAGGGCGGGGACGAAGGGAGGCCGCAGAGTAAACTCCTTCTGCGGAAGTGGCCCGTTCGCTCGCCTGCCTGCCTTTGTCTCCCCACGGGCGTTTTCGGTCCTGGGAACGCTGCCCGGAGCCCAGGCCCCGGCCCCAAATGATAAGCGCCAGGCATCTTCCAGTCCAGTGACTCCCGCAGCAGCTCTGCAAAAAGCTGCCTTGTCACCTCCTTTGGGTAAAGAACCTGAGGCCCCTAGCCCGGGGTCGCACAGCTAGTAGGAAGCCAAGCCCTCCTGCGCCCCAGATTTGGCTGCGGGCAGAGACGGGGTGTGGCCCTCGGGGCTGCACCGCCTTCCCGAGCTGTGACAGCCGTCAGGGCAAGTCTGAGCCCGTCGCGGAGCTCGTCTCCTGGCGAGCCAGCGCACCCTGGAAGCTGATGAGTTAAATCTGCACGGAGACTGAGGGTCCTGGGGTCCCTGACTTCCTAGGTGTGTCTGGAGCCCTTTGCTGCCTTTCAAAATTCTCCTGCTCAGATGCCTGCCACCTG